GAGATTTTAGCGTCAGGCCTAGTTTAATCTAGGGGTTCAAATGTCACCGAGCCTTGATCTCCACCAGGTAAAATAGTAGAGCCATCTTCAGAGACTTGAAGTCAGAAGAGGAGCCACCCTGTAGCCTCTTCAGGAGTCTGCTGCCTGAAGGTAAAGGTAGTCTTTTCACACCTGTTAAGACCAAGGAGTCAGATAAAGATTTAGCAGTGTTTTCGTAATGCATTCAGATTAAGTCCTGTATTGCCTTCCTGTAACATAAGCCATGTCTTTAAGCTGAACCATTTGGAACCACAATTCTTAAAGTCAGTGACTCATTGGACTAATAGAAACTAAACTGAAACTCGTGTTTGTTGGAACAGATTTGAGCGTAAAGTCTGTTAGACTACTTCTGAGGCTCAAACCCACTTGGGTTATCTGATAAACTCTTGGAGTACCTTTGATACTCAAGATACTCTAGGTTTCCATCACCCAGCCTTTCCCTGTAGAAATCTAAGGGAACCAGAAGGAAAGAGGCCTTGGAAGGAGCCTTTCCCCTTTCCTTTGAAAGCAACCTCCTGTTTCCTGTTTACACAGCACCATAAGCCCCTTGGAAAATGGCTAAGGGGCTGAGAGGATATCCAGCGATTGAAACAGAATCTGAGGCAAGATCTACTCTACTTGACTTCTGCTCTGGGCCCTTGAGTTCAAAAGGTGGAAAGGAAGGAGAGGATGCCTTGTTACTGGACTGAGACAGTGTGAAAGCTGCCACAGTTTCTCCCTGCTGCCCTGTGCTGGTCCCAGAGCTGCTGAGCTAGGTCCTCAGACTCACCACCTGGTGTAGGAATGGGGGGAATAAGACTAGTATGCTCCTGCTTCGAGGGCCATGGGGGCATGTGTCCTAGCACGTGAGCTAAAAATCAGAGTGGGTTCTGCCACGACTGGGTTCTGTCTGCCTGGAAGTCTGGACATTTTGGTCCCTGCATGGGTGACCAGATAGACTTCACTGGTTCATTAGTCCAACAGGCTTTGCTCAGTGCAGTGGGAAGTAAGAAGCCCGTAGCTGCTGACAAATCCCTTGGGCGACACATACATGATGTTTCATAGTCTGCCTCCGCTTGCAGCTACTTACTAAGGTTTTGTGTATCTACTGATAGGTCCGTTATGAGGTATGCGCAGGAATGAAAATATAAATGAGATAAATAGAAATTAATTCTAACATTTCCTCCCACACCTCAGTGGATCTCGCGGCACACATCCCACTTCAGAGAGCATTCATACACCTGCCCTTATGTTTCAGACTTCACCTTCCACAGTAGCTTTGGGAAGTGGGCTGTTTTTGAGTTGGGGCTGCCTGCTAGATGAGTGGTAGTGTGAAAGAGGAAGCTAAGCAGGCAGATGCTGAGCTCACCTAGTAGCACATAGTCCCCAGCAAGGCCTGATGACCACCGTTCTTCCCCCATTCCACCCTCGGAAAGACTGCCCAGGTGCCCTGGGGCGGGCCTTTAAAGTTCTTATTCCCTTTATAGTTTTCATTGATGTTGCATTTGATCATCGCAACACCTGATCAAGGTACAGGACCCTTTCCCTACTAGGAATGCCAGAGAATGGAGTCCTGCACCAAGAGCAATGAAACTCAGAGCTAGCATATGAGCCCTGCCTTCCCTGATGGCTGCTGCCTCCTACAGAAATTCTTCTGTGACATCTCCTGTCTCCCTACCTGCTGGAGGAGCAAGCCAGGGAACACGCTCCCATCTCTGACTCTTGGTCCAGCATGTGCCACTTTTCTTCTGGCAAGAACTTGGGCTCCAGGTCCCTCTCTTTTTCTGGGCCCACAACGGAAGATTCTTCCCCCAGTATGTGGCCTCCTCAGGCATGCAAGACCCAAGTGGAAGGCTTTTACCCTTAGGATGGGGAGGAGCCTGAACACCATGGACCTCCAGGTTCCCTTCGGTTTCTATTTCCTTGTCTTGCAGTCTTGTGATATCCATGGGGGGCTGGGGGCACTGAGGGCTGGAGCCCAGAGAGCAGGCTGCCTTGCACCCTCTCATCACTGTCTTCCTGGACTGGGCCCTCGCCGGCGCAGGGGGCTCAGGGTGCTGTTCTTCCACTTGACCTTGTGTCAGCTTGTGGGAGGGTGATTTTCTGTGTCCTGTCTGCTCAGTGGGTGCCTCCAGGTCGTGGCTGTGATGTTTACTCAGTGCCTTGGGTAGTCGGTGGCTTTTAGAGAGAGGTGAAACCTAGGAATTTAATCTCTTTGGGAGATTGAGACTTGTTCCTTCAGGGCATTTATTCATTTTTAGTTGTCCAATCTCAGTTCCCCGAAGCTGGGCAATAAGTACCAGTGTTTTTGTAACTATCCCTGTCTCCTTTTGCTGCTTTTTACCTTAGGATAGCTCTCTTCAGTTTACATCTTCCTAGCAAGGAAGCAGAGGAGTCACATGTGACATAGCAGGACACAGTGCTGGACTAACATTCATAGAAGAGCCTGGAAGGTCCTGAGAGATTCAGTACAGAGAAGGCTCCCTGCTCCTCCCCTGCAGGGACTCTGCCTGGGCTTCTTCCTGCCCTTCCTGCCTGGGGAACCAGCAGCCTTTGTGAGTCTCCTTGACAACAGGATGGATAAGTTAAAAATAACCTGCTCTGGGCCTTCTGTGCGTGTGTGCGTGCATGCACATGTGTGCGTGCGTGCCCGCTGTGCTCGAGCTCAGTCCCTGTGGCTTCTAGAGGCCACCAGAGACCTCAGTGTTGGAGACTGTTGGTTTAGGGTTGGATCTGGATAATCATGCCGCTTCACTACCTCCCATTACTGACAGTTGTCAATGGGTGTGGGTTTTGGAAAAATGGAAAGCAATTCAGAATGCTTCTGTCTTCTTTCAGTTTTACTGAAGAGGGTAAGCCAGGAAGCTTTGCCATGTTTCAGAACAACTCAGGAAGGTGGAGTAGGACACAGTTCTCTGAGGTGTTTGGTTACATCTCTTCTGGGAACCCCTCCCTGCCAGGCCCTTTCTGGATCCATTCTGTCAGGTGAGGATGCTCAAGTATGGAGGTCTTTGGGTGACTTGTACAGAGCCACCTGGCTCAGCAGTGAGCCCTGTCACCAGAAGCTGTGGCACTTCCCTCAGATCCTACTGATACCCCCCCCTGTCCTGACCCTTTATCAAAGCCAGCTGTCTGTTTCCACAGCCCAGAACTGCTAAGACTTTCTATTTTGTGATATCACCATTGTAAGTTAATTTTAGAAACAGCTGTCTCTGTTGGGGCAAGGGCTGGGTATGTTATCACATCTGGAATTAATTCCTCACTTCCCCCTCCACCCTTCCATTCATTAGCAAGTATTCTGCTGTGTGCCAGACATGGGGATGTCACGAGAACAAGGTGGCATGGTCTGGTCTTTAGAGACAACAGGTATGAAAATCTCTCCCTAAGTCCCCATTATGACCAGTGCCAACAGGGTAGGGCGGGGTGAGAGTAGGCAGGGAGAGCATATTAGTCACGCAAAGAACTTAATTCTAGAATTTTTTTTAAAAGCTCCTACAAATCAATAAAAAGAAAGACAGAAAATTCAGTGGAAAACAGTACAATGACTTGATAGACATTTCACAAAAGAAGATACCCAATTGGCATTGCAATAAACATGAATGGTGCTTAGTTTCATATATTTTTTAGTCATCAGGGAAATTCAAATGGTTCCATTTAAAATATGTAACTTTCTGTGTTTGCTCACATATAGAATGAAATCTTTGAAGATATGGTGAAACATCCTTTTGCCATTTCTTGTTTACCTTGTTCTGAATTTCTTACTGAAAGATAAATTGGATTCCAAGATACTTGAATAAAAGGAAACCTAGTGGGACGGCTACACTGAGGTCAGAAGACTTGGTTCACTGGGAGATCTAGGGCCACTGAACTGCTCAGTGCCCCCACCTCTCCATTTGTCAATATCTCCCCGTTTTCCTTCCCTGCCTCACAGGACAGTGAGCATCACGGGTTTGGGGAATGCTCTTAACTGTGCGAAGGGCTGAACCACACTCAGTAGTAGTGTTGCTCTGATTCTAAGTGATTAGGTTTTCTTCTGCCTCGTCTCATAGCAGCTATTCTAAATTGACCTAAGACATAGACCTGAGTGCTGGGATGGTCCTGAGGGCTCAGAGCTGCCTGCTTCTTGGTACTTTGGGCAGAGAACCTGTTGCTGGCATGGCTCTTGTCCCCCGCCAACGCAGGCTGGAAGCAGGGTGAGTTCCTGCAGGCATTTCCTTATGGGGCCTGGACAGCAGCTCTGTGAGTGACAGCACAGCGTTGCTGCTCCCCGGGCTGGTGGCGGGGACAGGACAGAGGAGCACAGGCATGGTGTGCGGCACTGCGTGGCTTCTGCACCAACTGGAGCTGGCCTCTTCAGGGGTGCTTTCGTGAAGTCTGCAAGTAACACTGTGGACTTTGGGGGGAGTGTGTAGGGGCCACAGCCTGACCCTTAGCTCCCTAACCAGCCTGGCCAGAACTGCTGACTGCCGTGGTGGCTCCAAGAGTTCACAGCCTGTTGTGGGCTGCTCCTGTGCAGCTTAGGTGTCGGTGAAGAGGTTTTTCAGTGGTGGACGGGTCTTCCTGGGTGGCTGCAGCTGAACCCTTCTGCCCAATAAAACCTGGGATACTTGCAGTAGGGCACGGTCGGAAACAGGTCCTAATGAAATCCCCCGTTGTGTTCCTCGGATATGGAGCAGCTCTTTTTCTGTCTTGTGGAATGTTCTCTCCCTCAGTCCCTGCACGGCAAGGGGGGTGGAGCAGATCGTGGCTATTACTCATCCCCCCAGGGGCAGGTGAACGCCTCTCTCCAGCAGAAAGCTGGCCACCCTGGCATATCAGAGCAGTGCTGGGATCGCGGAGTCCATCTGTTGTGCCACCTCACCGTGCCAGGTCCTCAGGCCATCTTGGTTCTCTTCCCACGTATCTCCTATAACAGACAAGTGTTTCTCAGTATCCTACTTGGCATTTTTGACCTTTTCCTTTTCTGTTTTTCTGCTATACAGGAGCCGGGAGTGAAGCTAGATGGAGAGACTGCGTCAGACAGTGAGGGCCGAGGGGAAGCTGCTACCCTACCCGCCTCTGTAGACGATACCCCAGAGGTCCTCAACAGGGCCCTGTCCAACTTGTCCTCGAGGTAAGCGGCTTAGTGGTGCGGACGGTCGTTGGAGCCCTGCTCTGTGTCCTAGTGCCATGAAGACCCAGAGCCCCCAGGAAGCCCAGTCTTGTGGTGGGGCCCACTTCTGGTAAAGTGTCTGGGGCAGATATACCAACATGTCTACTTGCATACTCTGTACAATTTCTTCAAGTAATTTGGCACCTCCTGCGCCGCCCCCCAAGACCAAAACCAAACCAAGCAAAGAAGAATATGTGGGATAGATGGGTTCACTTCACCAACCACAGTCTCCCCTGCCTCTGCCCAGTGCCCCGTTGATGTCTCAAGTGCTTCGCAGCAAATGCAGGCGTGGCCTGGAAGGCTCTAGCCCTTGGAGCGAGCTCTGGGCTGGGCTGGGAGGTGCAGCCCGAGGAGGAGGGCGGAGGAGAAGGAAGGCCTGCTCAGGGGGTCATGGGGCAAGGCTGCTGACCCAGCAGGCGAAGAGACATGGTCCTTGGGTTTGTGACTCATGGGGCAGGCTGCTTTTCATTGAGGAGCCCATGTTTCCAGTTTGGAGTTCATTTTTCCCTCTCCCACACACATCCACTGTGATCATTCCTTAAATTCTCCTGAAGAATTGAGAAACATCTCACCGTGGGTTAAAATTTTGGTGCCTCAACACTCTGGTCCTTCCAATATCAACTATGTGGGTTAGATTAAAAACACAAATTATGCGACCCCAAAACATTATGTAGAAGTATTCCTATTGTGCCTCCTCCACAAGGGTTCCTTTTGTGAGCCAGTCACAGGCATGGGCTCTGGAGGCAGACTCCCAGGATTCAAGTCCTAGCCACCACTCAGTATGACCTGTACATCCACTTCCTCCTCTATAAAAGCAGTAGTGTGTAGGATTTAGTGAATTAATGTATGTAAAATCTTTATAACAGTACCTGTATTTGTGATCATTATCTCTGTTTCATACTTATCATCTAATGATTCAGGGGCAGAGCAGCATAGGATTCTGATGGAGGAAAAATATTCCTAATTTTTTCTGCAGAAATAGCCAGAGAAGCCGTCCAAGTAGATACAGAAATGTAGGGGGGCACTGTTTCCCCTCTCCCCCCCCTTTTTTTTTTTGCCTTATTCCTTCATTATGATATAAGCTGGGTGTATTTGTCCATAGGCCTTGGAGTACTTGCTGAGTTTGGTTGTAGGGAGGGCCAGTGCCTCTGTCAAGATAAAGGAGCTGCTTGTGGAAAGCAGTGATCCCAGGGCCTCCTCATCTGCTGCTCTGCCCCAGTGCCCATTGGGTTCGTGCCTTGATTACTACTGGGCTCCTGATATGTCTCCTTCTCTTCTCAGATGGAAGAACTGGTGGGTGAGAGGCATCTTGACGTTAGCCATGATTGCATTTTTCTTCATCATCATTTACCTGGGACCAATGGTTTTAATGATTATTGTAAGTACCGTTTTTAATGCTGTTTTAATTTTGCCTTCAGTTTTCCTTGCAGGACTGGTCATCTAAAGTATCAGGTGTTGGGCTGGGTTCTCAGCTCCTGAGAACACTTCTGCCTTAGCGTGTCTGTGGCTTCTTACCTCTCAGCAGCCAACTAGAGGGATGTTGGCATAGGCCAGTTGTGTGCTGTTGAAGATATCTCTGGACTTTAAAATTTGATTTTATTACTTCAGCTGTTTGATTAATACACTGTCTACCAACTATGAGTCTTGTTTTTGCCTGTTTTTCTGGGTCTGTAGTGCTTCTCTCAGTCCTCACCCTGTCCATACAGTAGGGAATGACTAACATATGATTGCCGAGCACAAGCATTTTTTTCTATTCAAAGTCAAAAGGGGAAGTAACTGATAGAATACTGAGAGGTTGTAGAATAAAAATTTAATTGAAACTTCAGGAACATGTATGTACTGTGGAAAGCTGGATCTGCTCTTTGTGACTAGAAGGGCAACATGGCCATGTAGGATGGTGTGAGAAAGGAGGAGAGAAGAACCACTGTGGGAGTGATTTTTTTTTAAATATTTATTTTTATTTATGCATACAAGAACTGGGGTGTAGGCCAGAGCTGCAGGGGGTTAGAGGATTTGCCAGAGATAGTGGGGAGCAGAACAGGCAGATCTGCTGAAATACACTGCTGAGGGGAGAGTGGGCGAGATAGGAGAGGTCTGCTGTACCATGTGGGTTAGCTCCCTGGCCGGGGATTGAACTCATGCTGTAGTGGCTGGCGATAGCTTGATAGCACTGACTTTAACCCCTGTGCCACCAGGCCCAGGAGTGATATTTTTCTTAAATGCAATGTTTTTTCCTGAAGGCCCATGACCTGTTGATTTCTGTTTCTCAAGATCATAAGAATTGGGGAGTTAGTAAGTGTTCTGATTTTTTTGTGTCCCACAGGTAATGTGTGTTCAGATTAAATGTTTCCATGAGATCATCACTATTGGCTACAATGTCTACCACTCCTATGACCTACCCTGGTTCAGGACCCTCAGCTGGTAAGTTCTCTAGCCCCATGGGTATCCTTAACAGGTTGGGATAGTGTTTTGTGGTAGGTGTTCATCTTGGTGGTGGCTGGGAGGGGAGTGATGACCTCAGACTTGTGCAGTGCCTTTGAAATACAATGGCTGGCCTTTGAAGAGTCTTCAGTAAGTACTAGAATCTTCTTCAGAAGAAACCAGCTCGGCTGCCTCTGTGACCATATTTACCTTGGTATTTGGATATCTTAGACTCTGCTTGATGGCTCCCAGCTCCCTTTTTGAAGACTGGCATATTTTTCAGACTCTAGTACTCCACATCCCACTACATCTGGGAGTTGTCAGTGCTGGTGCTGCTGTATCTGAAACTTGGTTTTCTCATCCTTAAAGCAGATGGTCTAGATTTAATGGCTTTTAAACTGGTTTTGGAGCCACAGTTCCTTGGAGGTGCCTTGGGTGCCAGTTTGGGCGGGAATGAGATCTGGGCTCCTTGGAGAAACTCTGCATTCTCCTTCTCCCGGGAAAGGACTTTGCCATCTTAAAGCAAAACCAAAATTAAAACCTGTAGTGTAGGTGATGAGTGAGATTCCTTCCCGATCTGTGATTCTGCTTTATTGAACACACTGTCCTCAGGTGAGGGCGAGCAGAGCTCTATCCGGTGTGGAGCAGACTAGGTGGACGAGGGTTCGTCTCACTCCACTGTGCTCAGACTCAGAAATAGACTTCTGACTGAGCAGACTGGGGGGTAGTATTTTGGGTTCCAGCGACTTGGTCATGGCTGAGGGAGGCGATGTGTGTAGACCTGGGCTTCTCATGGGCTCTGCAGCCTACGCTTGCTTCCTGGATGAAAGGAGTCTCTTTTGTTCTATACCTGGAGAGCAGTGTTTTGAATTTTGTTAACATACTCGGGAACTCTGACCTGTCTGTCATCACTATTCTAAGGAAATTTTGTTTTGTGTGTTGTTGTTGTTGTTTTTTTTTTTTTGCATGGAACAACTGGGTTGTAGGCCAGAGGTGCAGTGGGTGAGAGGATTCACCAGAGACAGAATGGGGAGAACAGGCAGATGTACTGAAATACACCTCTGAGGGGAGCAGCAGGTGATGCAGTAGAGGTCTGCTGCACTGTGTGGGTTGCTCCCTGGAGAACTTGTGCTACAGTGGCTGGCGATAGCTTGATAGTGCTGTGCCACCAGGGAGACCCTGATTGCCCTACTTTACTTTTTTTTTAAAAAGGTTTATTTATTTATGCATACAAGAATTGGGGTACAAGCCAGGGGGTGAGAGGATTCACCAGAGACAGAGTGGGGAACAGAACAGACAAATTGACTTAAATACACTGCTGAGGGGAGCAGCGAGCGAGTCAGGAGAGGTCTGCTGTGCCATGTGGGTGCTCCCTGGCTGGGGATCGAACTCGTGCTACAGTAGCTGCAGTGAGCTTCATAGGTTTTGTCTTAACCCATTGCACCACCAGGGAGGCCCGATAGCCCCACTTTAAAGGAGAGGCCATGTGTGCTTCCCGCAGCAGTGATTGGTCTTCACTTACAGGTACTTCCTACTGTGTGTAAATTATTTCTTCTATGGTGAAACAGTGACGGATTACTTCTTCACTCTGGTCCAGAGAGAGGAGCCTTTGCGAATTCTCAGTAAATACCACCGGTTCATTTCCTTTACTCTCTATCTAACAGGTATGTGGCTCACCAGTTCTTGTCTTGTTTTTGCATTTCTGCTGAGTTAAGAAATGTCTTGGTTAAAGTTCTGATGACATAACTGTCCATTCAGGGAGCAAGGCTGATGAAGAGCTATAGCCATGCTTTACTAAGAGATAAGACTGAGGGACTGGTTGGCATGGGGCCTGCAGTCTGTGTGCTTGTCCTCTTGTCCCAGCCTCTGTTGGAGGACAGTGTCCCCTGGCTTTGTCATGACTGTCCTGTTGGTAGAGGTTCTCCCCTGTGACCAACGCAGAAACCTCCCAGGAACTTATGTGTAAATACAAGTGGCCATCTTTATTAGGAGACCGCCTGCAGAGACGATGCAGTGTGCTGGAAATCTGACCGATCGGAGTTTCTGTGATCTCAGAGCGGCTGGGAACCTAGTCTTTCTGAGTCTCAGCTCTGTTGTAATCTAGAGCTGAAACTGAGGATTTGAGGATTAAATCAGATACATTAAAACCTGACCAACAGTACAATGTTATGTTTATTTAAACTCATTAAGATTGTGCATTAGTCCTAAGAATGCTAGTGTTTTTCAGAGTTGCTGTCAAAGATGGTTTGAGACACATGAGAAATTTGTTCTGATCAAAATTCTAGTCTGCCCTGTATTTGATCAGCTTGATAACAATACTTGGCTTTGTGAATGTCACCTGCTATTAAAATATAGATTCCACTGCCAAGGGGTCTGTTGCCATTGAGGGGCATCCGAGAGTGTGCCCCTGAAGCAGCCCTGGAGAAGGAGATCAGCGATGTGCTCTCTTTGAGGGGACCCCACACCTATATGGTAAAAGTCCCTTACCTTCCTTGAGAAGGTGGGGAACTGGCAGATTTTTCTTGTTACCATGTGATTCAATGTGAGAGAGCTGCAAAGGTGGCCTTGACCCCGTGCCTGGTGGATTCCCCCTCCACCAGACCTGTTCTCTAGCACAGGGTTGGCAAACTTCTTCTAAAAGATCCGGATAATATTCTATGCCTTGGGGTCTCCTCAGTTCTGCCACTCTAGCATGTCACCAGCCATAGGCAATCTGTAAACAAATGGGTGTGACTGTTCCAGTAACATTTCCTTATAAGAACAGGCAGCTAATCTGGTTGTTGCCCCATGCTCTAGCCTCAAAACATTTCTGTTTGGTAATCAGTGTCCTAAACTGAGTGTAGTCTGCAAGATTTTATTTTATTGACTTTTTGTCTCCAAGATTTTAAAGTATTGCCTTCCTCTGATTGTCTCGAAGCAGTCATTTCCCCTCTGACTGCTTTCTGAGTCACTGGGTTTTCTCCTGTGGGCTTTGGAGCCTCGCACTGGCTAACTGCTGCCAGGAAATCTGCCAGATGAGCACGTAACACAGCCTGAGGAAGTGACTAGCACGGGGGTAAATGCAGAGTGTGATTCAGTTTGCCCTTTCTCCTCTTCTCTCTTCCAACTAGGATTCTGCATGTTTGTCCTGAGTCTGGTTAAGAAGCATTACCGTCTGCAGTTCTACATGGTAAGGGAGATGCACGCCTGCTAGAATTCTTGACCTCAGTGAAGTTCTGCCCAAACTCACTGGCCTCTTATCCTTTCTGGAATTCAGTCTGTTCTGTATGCATCCGGAACCCACAACATGAAAGAGGAGGGCCCATTTAAGTTCCGTGGTTGTACATCCATCTAGATCCAATTTGTTACTTAATTTCCACCCTAATAGGCAATTTCTCCACTTGGACCTAAAGAATGAACTCCAGGTGACGCTTCAGGATTGCCCACAGAGAACCTATCTGCTATATCACCCTCGGCTTGAAAACATCCCCTCTGTGAGTGCCCTAGGCACTCAAATAATAAGTAATAAATGATCATAGGCTTCTGGATCACAGAACTTACACACTAAGTAGGTCGTGTGGCCCCGGCTTCTGATGGAAATTGAAGCTGAGTGATAAAGTTACTCCTAGAGGCTGGCACCTTTTCACTTCTGGTAAGATAGGTGCAGAAACTGGCATCTCTCTGCATCGATTGGTTCCTGGATCCAATTCCAGGGGTTTGTGGAAGTTTCCCTCCAACATTCTTGGACACCCAGCAGTGTCTGGGATCTCAATTCTGACATGATCTATTGGAGTTTGTGTTAGGTTCCACAGGTTAACGGCTCAGCTCCAAGATCTCCCTCCTCTTCAGGTGCCGGTCACAAGCCTCTGTGCTTCTGAACAGCTGATTACAGACTGGAGGTTCCCATGACCCCGTCTTCAGACTTCAGGGGCCCTTTACAAGTGCAGATAATTTGTGCTTCTGACTGAGTGGCAACTAGAGGTTCCTATAGCCCCTCCTCAAATTCTGTTAATCTGCTGGAATGGCACACAGCTCAGAAAACCTGTTTACTTACTTATTATAAAGGAAATTAAAGGATACAAATCAAGTCTCAGAAACAGACAAGCTCCTGAACAAAGGAACTTCTAACATTGTGGACCTGCAAGGAAGCACTTGAAAGGGCACTGGTTCCTCAATCTGGAAGCTCTCTGAAGCACTCCCCCCACCTCCTTTTTGGGCCTTTTAGGGGCTTCATTACTTAGGCATCATTGATCAGCTCATTGGCCACTGACAATTGAACTTCACTTCTAGCCCCTCTCTCCTCTCTGGAAATCAGGGTAGGACTAAAAGTCCTGCTCTATGCATATTGGTTTCCCTGGCAACCAGCCCTCTTTCTGAGGTATTTTCCAAAGGTTACCTGCATTGACATAGACTTTAAGAATAGCAAGACACCCGTTTAGATTTATGACTCTTTAGCTTACTCACGAACTGAAGCAAAAGACCAAATGTTATAACAAAATCAGCTCCCATTGCTCTAATGACGCGGGAAATTTTAGGAGCTTGTTAGTCTGGAGCTGTGGATAAAGACAGAATGGATGAGAAATACACTTTGGTCATCCTAATGACTACTGCACTTTCCTATCTGAGTCCTAGCAATTTTCACTTTGGTACTGACTTTTTTTTTTTTTTTTTTTTAAATAGAGGCATGTTATTTATTTATTTATTTATTTGTTTGTTTGTTTTGTTTGTACAGTCAGAAGCGCAGGAGGGTGAGAGAATTCACCAGAGCTAGAGCAGGGAGCAGAGCAGGCAGAAGGACCGAAGCACACTGCTGAGGGGAGCAGCGGGTGGCAGGAGAGGTCTGCGCGCCATGTGGGGCCCTCCTCCGGTGGCCGGGGAGCAGCCGGGGATCGAACCGGCGCCGCAGAGGCCGCGGGCAGCTTCGCAACGCAGCGCTCAACCGCTGTGCCACCGGGGAGGCCCGGTACTGACTCTTATTTCAGGTTCATTTAAGGTATGCCAGTAAAGGTTCTTTTTCTTCTCTTGCAGTTTGGCTGGACCCATGTGACATTACTGATTGTTGTAACCCAGTCACATCTTGTGATCCACAACCTGTTTGAAGGAATGATCTGGTGAGTTGATGTGGCAGTCAGGGGGATTTTCCCTTTTTTTTTGTGGGTGTTTTTCATGTTCAGGCGGGCTGGGAATTTTTTTAGGTATTAAGAGTGGCACATGCTGAGTCCTCACCTTTAGGGCCAGACATACCACTTGGCTTTATAGTAAATCATAGTAACATTTCTGCTTACGGTTCTCACATTCCAACTACAACTAACTAGAGGCTGGTTTGCAGAGGTTGCAGAGGTTGTGTGATGATGGGAGGTACAGACGCTGTACGTCCTTCCCATAACAGTGTCTAGAGTTGGTGGGCCAGAAAAATTGAGATTTATTATAGTGTGTTAAATGTAACAGAGGACATTTTAAAAAGTGACTGTCAGAGAACGGAGCGTGGGGGAGGAGTGAGAGGAAGATGGTACAGGTATGGGAAGTGCCCACTTTTCCTTGGTGGGGATGAACAGACCAGCATGGGGACGCGAGGAGTCCTCTGTGGTGGTTTGGCCAAAGGTAGGCTCACTAGAGCTAGTAGTTGACATAAGAAGTTAAGAAAACAAGCAGGTAAATTATGAAATAGACATATATTATTTAGAATTGTGGAGGTAATGGAAGAAAAATTAGAAGTGGCTGTTTGGAGGAATGAAGATATAGAGGAAAAAAGGAAAACTAATTTTTTTCTTTACTGTTTATACGTATATTATTGTGTGCATGTATTACTTTATAATGAGAAAAGAACCAGTGGAATTTTATAGACTGCCACCTTGGTTTATTCAGGAGTTGTCTAGTAAACATTTGAATGCTTACTGTGTGCCAGCTACTCGATGTGACTTACCTGGTATTTTATTTCTTCTTATCCTTTAAAGGGTAGCGAGTATTTTATGGGTGCTTTGGTACTGGAATTTATGCCTGGCTTTGTTTTGTAACTTGGAGGTATTCTTGTGGTGAGTTGATGCTTAGTTCTGTTTATGTCCTAGGTTCATTGTCCCCATTTCTTGTGTGATCTGTAATGACATCATGGCCTATATGTTTGGGTTCTTTTTTGGTCGGACCCCGCTCATCAAGGTAAATGGATTGATGGGATAAATGGATCCTGACATGGGATACCACTGAGGGGAGGGTGGTGTGGATCTAACATCCTGGAGATCTGTGAATCTGTGGATCTGTCATCCTGGAGAAAGGCTGGTAGTAGTTTTCAGAGCAAAGCCGACGTGAAATATTGGCAACTCCTTATAGGAGAAAAGGAGCTAATAAAACTTTTGTCATAGCCTGTATAGCCCTTTTGGGACTTTAATCTCTATTTGAGTGTTGTCATTTATTTTGTATATTGTTTTATACATTTAAATTATTTGAGTAATAGAAAAAGAAAGGAATTTGAGGGATATAAGGAAGGAAATTAAGTATGGGGGAATTTTAGAAGGTGAGGTAGTTAACAAAATAAAGTTTCTTTTTAATAATAGAAAGGTTTTTAACTAGTAGCCATTGTTCTCAAAGCCAGAGTTATCAGGATGCCCTTTACTAAGAACTTGTTCTCTGTCCACAGCTGTCCCCCAAGAAGACCTGGGAGGGTTTCATCGGGGGCTTCTTTGCTACTGTGGTCTTCGGCCTTCTGGTAGGTGGTGGCTCCCGGCAGGGGGGAGTGGACAGAGGCGTCATACCCACCTTTGAAGTCCAGGGCTAGAGACCACTTACCTGAGTTCCAGGACTCTGTCCTGATGACCTTACCCAGAAGAGGGGCACAAGCAGGCACCGGTTGTCTTTCATCTGCCTGTCGTGAGACAGAGTCCTGGCAGTCAGGGAGCAGGCCCACGTGTACTGTGTGTTCCTTCCCTGCCAAGGCATGCGACTCAGTAGGTGGCCTTGTCCAGCATTTGGTATTATGTGGGAGGAAGGGGTCAGGTGAGATATGCTGCTCCGACCCAGGTTTTCTGATACATGTGCTCTACCTGGAAGTGGATAATCTTCCAGCTTTTTCTAAAGCTGCTTCTTTCCGGACAGTCTCTCCCCTGCTCAGTATTGCCTGACTATCTAATGCGGACTTCCCTGCTTTATTGCTCTTCAGTGTTCTTCCTTCTGGCTGTCTGCCTCTCACTGTACCACTTCCCCATGACCTGCCTCTAGTTAGCACTAAGTTAAGAGAGCCCAAGAAAAATGGATCAAAGCTCCCCTAAATGGAGAGAAATTTCTTGTAGTTTTTCGCCCAAATTCCATCAGGCCTTTACTGGATTAATTCAGGATCTGGGTTTCTGGGCAAGAATGTATGAAGCTCTGTGGGCCATAAACCTCTCCCTCCCTCCCCCTGCCTCCCCAGTACAGGTAAAATACAAAATTTTTCGGTGAAACAAATCTGACTTAGTGCACAGCTTGCAGTATAGCCCTTTTGTACTGGAATTTATGCCTGGCATAAATTTATGTACTGGAATTTTGCTGGGTGCCAAGCACTGTGAAGGATGTGACCAGCCCAGGTTTCTGTTATCTGCGCTGGGTCACTGGAGCTCATCTCCTTTGCCTGTCGTCTCTGTCCTTCATCCTCAGCTGTCCTATGTGATGTCGGGGTACAGATGCTTTGTCTGCCCCGTGGAGTACAACAACGACACCAACAGCTTCACTGTGGACTGCGAGCCCTCGGACCTGTTTCGCCTGCAGGAGTACAACATCCCTGAGGTGATCCAGTCGGCCATCGGCTGGGTACGTGCCCCTGACACTGAGTGAACTGACCCCCCTCTCTGCCACTTCCTTCCCTCAAACAAACAAAATATCCAAAAACCTAGCTTCTTCTCTCCCCAAAGCTCTGAGTCCTGGGATGAAGAAGAATTGTTCAAGCCAGTTCAGGGTGAGGGCAGAAGGAAACTTTCCTCACTCCTGACACACTTTTAGTCACAGTGTGTCTTGTGGATCTCTGGGGAACCCTGAGTCTTGCAGGGGGTCTATGAGGTCACAACTAGTTCCACAACAATATAGTGACGTTCTTTGCCTTTTTTACTTTGTTGACATTTGTCATGAAGGTGCAAAGCAGTGGGCAGACCTGCTAGTGCCTCAGCATGAGCGAAGGCAGTGGCCCCAGAGCACTGAGTCCTGGGTTCTTCATGCCATGCATTTGCAGCGCAAATGAGCCAGTTTCTTCTGCAAGTGTCTTTCATGGTCATTTTATTAAAACTTTACCTATGAATGCCTATTTCTCATACTTTGTGCCAAAGTGAATGTCTGCAGAAGCACTTCTATTGGTAGGGATGCACAGTGCTTGCCTGGTGGGGAAAGACAGTGCGCGTGCAGGGCTTCACTTAGGGGACAACAAGCCTGTTCAAGGGAATTTAATTCTTACCCAAAAAGGACTGACAAACTATAGTTCTTCAGACTTGGATGTTTTGCAGACATTTTTCTTAAAAATGAACTAAGTAAGCCTGTCATTTCAAGGAAAATAGCTGATGATAATTGTTTTCCAATGATGAACTTGAGCTTTCAAGTGAAAATTGCTGTACCAAGTTATAAAGAAACTGCTGTTTATAAAGTTCTGGTCTAGTGTCAAAAAAAACAAACCCAGAGCTCTCTGAAAGGATTGGAACTAAAATATTCTCCTTCAACAACATACCTGTGTAAGGCTGGATTTTCTTTATATACTTCAATCAAAACAACATATCACAATAGATTGATTATAGACTGTCTTAAACCAAACTTCAGAGATTAAAAAAACAAATTCAGTTCTTATACTGAAATTTTTTCTTTTTTTTTTTTTTTTTGGTTGGTGGTGATGGTGGGTGGTCTGTTAACAAGTACAATGCTTGACTTGTAGGCATCTTCACTGGACTTTTCCTTTGTTTATTCTTCTCAGAACACTGTCCGGATGTACCCCTTCCAGATTCACAGCATCGCCCTCTCCACCTTTGCCTCGCTCATTGGCCCCTTTGGCGGGTTCTTTGCAAGCGGATTCAAACGAGCCTTTAAAATCAAAGTAGGAAAACACTTGTCCCTGTTCCTCTCCTTGTCTCCCTGTCAGGCCCCTCTTCACCCATCTCCTGCCTTCCTCCTCCTGCTCAGTCCATTAACCACCACTCCCTTCAAAACACCAGGGTGACAAATAACCCGGCTGTTGATGTGCACTCTTCACCTTGCGTGGAGCTTTAGCAAGGGGTCATTGTCCACAAGAAAATTCAGTAGTTGGATTTTGAGTTTAAGTGTATCTTATGTTTTCAAAAGAAATGTATAATTTAATAAGAGTGTACCCTGTTATAAATAACCCCAGCATTTGAATCAGTGCTTACTTTTCACTTTCTCTGGCTCTCGGCTACTCGTGAGTGGCTGGACATCGAGGGGGCCCCTTGGGTAGGGCTGGCTCACTCGCCGAGCCCAGGCTCACCAGTCCCTCCCCTGCCTTCGCCTTCCCTCACAGGACTTTGCCAATACCATTCCTGGCCATGGAGGCATCATGGATCGATTTGACTGCCAATATCTGATGGCCACCTTTGTCAATGTCTACATTGCCAGTTTTATCAGGTATAGTTCCTGTCTGTCTGAGCCAAATTGTGGATTTTTAAAGTGAAATTCTAGAATTTTAACTATATCTCAGTTCTAGTGAAAAGCATCCAGAATCTGAACACAGTTTCCAGTTGCTATTTTTAGATTACTTGAAAACCCTCACCCTCCACCTCCTTGCTACTTCTGTTAGTAGAGAATCCAGAGGTGGGATCCTGTAGACATTGAGATAGTTAGGTCTTAGAAGTTGCCTGTGCCCTGGCTCAGTGCTGTTTCTTTTTCTTCTCTTCTAGGGGCCCCAACCCAAGCAAACTGATTCAGCAGTTCCTGACCTTGCGGCCAGATCAGCAGCTGCACATCTTCAACACGCTCAAGTCTCACCTGGCCGACAAGGGGATGCTGACAGCTGTCACGGAGGATGAGTAGGGCCAGCAGGGCCGGGAGAGCAGCAGTAGGACTGAGCAAGGGGCGGGGCTCCAAGAGAAGCCCAGCTGTGTGACTTAGACAATGACAAGGCTTTTAACTCACTCTTTTTTTTTTTTTTTTGGTAGAGTATTTTTATTTGTGAGTTAAAAAAAATTGTATATATATACTCTATGTGCTTATAATTTGGGTTGTGAGTAAACTACAGCTTTGAGTTGGAAAGAAGTCACAGGGTAAAACCATTTGGGTTTTTAAATGAAACACCAGTTTTAACAACCTGGAGAACAGTGTTGCCCAGCTTGGGTGCACCTGCCCGGGGCTTCTGGCTCCAGTCGAGTGAACTGTTTCTGGGCTCCATCAGAGAGTGCTCCTCTGTGTCTGACCAGTTCAGGGGCCCCCTGCCTGTCTTTGTAGTGTAGCTGCCCCCAGCAGGGAAGAAGTACAAGGCTTGGATGCCATGCCTTTGCTTCTGGAGAGCTTGCACCTGGCTACGGGAGGCCTTTTGTAGGCCAGAGGGACAGAGGCTTCTTCATCACATGAAGTCCTGTGGAGTGTGAGTTCTGCTTTATGGTGTGTGTTCACCTTATTTCATCACAGACTGAAAGGCTTTTTCATTTTCTTCAGAAAGCATGAATAATTATAGTAGTCGGTGGGTGGGGGGAAGCACTGCAATTTTTCAAGTGTGCACAGCGGAACGTACTGTAACTGAGCCCTTTCCTGCAGGTTGTAGGCTCTCGTGGGGCAGTCCAGCTAACTGTCTTTTCAGGGACAACGCCGTTCATGTGTGTATTGTAGACGTGTTGCTGCTGATCCTCTCGGGAGCTTCCTGTTGGGCAGGGAGCTGGGGGCTTCTTCACGCACCCTTTGCCTGACCGACCACCCGTGTAGCTGCTGGCTGCTGTGTTGTGTATATCTGACTTAAGGCAAGTGTGTGTGTGTGTGTGTGTGTGTGTGTGTGTGTGTGTGTGTGTGTGAAAAATCACTTCTTAGAGTGATTTCCATTGTACCATGACTTCTTCACTGAGACCATGAAGTTCCGCCTAAAACTCTGGAAACCCTAATCCCGTTAGAGGTTTGAAGACTGGGAAAGTTAAATGCACATTTTTTAAACAATGTGACCAGTTTAAATATAGTTTGCATTTTACTGGGGGACCTTTGCTTTGTTTTTAAACTGTGATTTTTTTTTTCTTTTTTTTTCCCCCTTCCTAATTTCAGGAGTGATGTTGATTTGGGGAAGACAAGTTTTTTTTGTCAGACTTTAAGCCAGGGAGGACGGGAGAGAACTTGGTGCCCAGACGTTTTAAATTATTCCATGCTAGGGTTGTTCCTGTTGCCAAATGAGGGTGTCGTGGCTTGCTTCAGTACCTCGGTCTGGTGCTGCTTTGTTTTGCTTAGTTCTCAGCCAGCCCTCCGCGTCCCTGAAGGCTCACAGCCAGCCCAGATCACTGCTGTGTCCAGCACGGGGCAGACCCCCTGGATGCTTCAGCTCAGTCATTGGGTGACGACCTCTGCGCACAGGCAGCATCGAAGCAGCTTCTTTCTTAAGAACTTTTACTTCCGTTGTAGCATATGGCATTTCTCTTTCAAGTCCAAGGTCCCCTGAAAAGCAAAATTTTTTTGCATAAGGTTTCAGCCCTAGTCATGTGACCGCCCTGAGCAGACATCCCTCTCTGGGCTCCTGATATCACAGCAGCCATCTAATTCCAGTATTTTGTGATCCCAGCTGAGCAGGCTCTTGTCACCAGAGGTTGCTGTGGGCATTAAGTCATGACCTGGGCACCCAGAAAGTATAGGCTTTTAGGCCTTTTCTAAATGCTCGTCCTTGAAATAACCCAGTATCTCAACAACGGATTAAACAGTGGAGGTGATGGGTAATGAATTTAGTTTCCTTATTGAAGGATGAAGTTGCTCCCAAACCAGAGACAGAAGGACACCTCATTTGTCTCGTGTGGCCTCACTGGGGGTATGTGGTGGGTCCTTGGGAGTTGGGAGTCTCAACGAGGGCCCCGCAGTCCAGAGCCCTCCTAAGAGTGCTGCCTTGGGGATCAGGGCTCTGCCACTGTTTAATCTGGCAGTGTTTAATCTGGTGCCTGGCACATTCCTCTTTTAAGGGGGCCTGAGATCCTATAAACTGAAAATGGATGCTCTTCGAGCAGCCGGCAAGGCCAGAGGGCTGTCTTGGGGATTTCCCCACAAGCTTTCTGGTGAAATAGGAATTTCCTAGTTAAGTAACTAGGAGACCAACACCACCTTGCATTTTTCTTTCTCCCAGTTGCTGAAAATATTTTGCCATACAGACAAGATTCAGGAGACTATTAAGTATCATACACTTGTGCATATCTTAATGGATGATATAATTTGCTTTGGATCCTTTTTTTTTTTTTTGGTGAGAAATAAAATGTGATGGAAACTGTGTGCCATTCATTTTCTCATTTCCATGCATGGTTTTATGTTCCCCATTTGTTTTTGTATTTGTAAATACTATGCTGTCCTGATTTAACGATTTTTATTTGTTTTGTGGATCCTGAGCCCGGGACTGTGGAGAACTGTGGAAACAGTGGAAACTGTGGAGTTTCCCTAGGGTCCTGTTGAGTTGAGATTTACTTCTCTTGTGCTCTGCCTGGCAGTACAAGGATTAGGTTGTCCCCGGCCTGACTTTCTTTGGCAAATGTGGCATAGGGCCCTGAAAATTTTGCAACATTATTTCCCTCAAGCTTTGGTGCCTGGCCTGTGCACCAGGTTGGAGCTTAAATTGTTGTGAGCTCAGAGCTAGTGACATAAGGAGCTGATGAACAGAGGTGTTGCAGAAGCTAGGGAGCATTAGCAGAGGGTGGGCCATCAGCACGCACAGCCGGCTGTCCTCCCTGCCTGGAGAGTACCCCCCACCTCGCAGTTGCCCATAGGGCCCTCAACTGCTCTCAGCACTGGAACAGCACACTGAAGTTTACTCCTGAAAGTGAAACCCTCTAAGGCAGCCTGGACCTTACTTATGTTTGTTATTTTTTGCCTGTTTGATATCCTCAGCATTTTTGTAGCTATACTATCATGATATTTAAAATGTATTTACTCTGAGTGTCGTACAATTCTGTAATGTGTGTTTGAAGCTAGTGTCCCTTTGTAGGGGTGAAGTGTAACTTTTAACCTTACACAGGTGGACTTTGAAACCATTTTTATGGTATTTTTCCCCCACTGGACTTTTTCTACCGTAACTTATATATTATGCAAGAAGATTCCAAAAGTGTAATTTAAAGGAGACTAAATAATGATTGGCGTTTCAGCTAGTTGCTGAGTTGGCTAGAGCCTGGTTCGAGTGGATCCTCGGATTCATATGTTTAAGCTGTTGGCACCCGGCAGGTTGAAGAGTGTCCCAGGTGTTGCCAGGGGTACATGGGGGGCTGTGAATGACTTAGGACAAAGAGCATCACTGTTGAAAAACCACAGCAGTGGCCTTGCTCCTTAGGAAGCCAGCCCAAGGTCGTTCCCAAGGGGGTAGATTTTCGTTGTTCTATCACATGTCACTGCCGAAGTCTCTTCCTGTTCTACTGTCTTAGGCACCATCCTTGCCTTTCGTCTTTGGGAATGACATGCAGCCACCGTGGCCACCTTTCTCGTGTGTTGTGATTATGTACTGAGAAAAGGGTGGCGTGGAAGGTGCCACTGCCCTTAGGCCCAGGGTTCTTCCAGCGTCTGGATGGGGACTGGCACAGAGAAGGTATGCAGGTGACCATCGTGCACACACCGCAGGGCTCAGCTGAGCAGGCCTCTGTGCTTGTCTGCAGCGGGCTCCAGGAGAGCAGCTGGACCCAACCAGCAGCTCCCTGAAGAGGGTCTCGTGCTTGAGTAGATGCTTATTAGGTTGTCCTTGTCTTGGTCAAAACAGACTTCCTTTTCCTCACGTCTCCTCCTAGTTGCCCAGCTTCCGATTTTTAAATAGATAACAGCTCCTGCTTTCTGACTTGGTCTCCCTTGTTGAGTAGCGGCCTTGTGGCATGACTGGGGTTTGGGCCAAATGGTGATGAAGGAGCTTAGTTGAAGGGCTCCTTTCCCCCACCCTAGAAAAGATAGACCCATTTCCAGTGAGAAACAGAGCCCTGGCTGCTGACTGCTGCTTCCTTCCATGTGAAGCTTCCTCCCAGCTCCCTGGGCTCCCTCCCCAGGCTGACTTGCAGGACCATATCCACCTGGGCTCTGGGTGGGCCTGGGTTCTGGCTCTTCTCACCTGGGGCTGCCTCTTGCAGCAGGCTTTTGTCTGTTTGTACATGGACAAAGATAACAGCTGTAGGACCATTGAGGGGTATACTTTGGATGCCGAAATGGGGTTCCTAGAGCATGTGGATGATTTATGAATCCAGAGAGGCAAGATATGTGATGTCTGGGATTTTGTGGCCAGTGAATTTCGAATCCATTGGCTGTTGGAAAACCCTGTCCCCTCTTCTACTTCTCTACCAGATGCCTATCTGCTGAGGCTCCTTTTTATTCTTGAGCCAATAAGATACCAGCAATGTTTATTAACAATAATTGCAGTAAGAGAAATGTGCTTAATATGTGCCAGGCACAGTGCTGAGTGTACGTGCATTATCCTCTTGAATGCAGAAAGCAACCTTTGATGAGGTAATACTCCATGGAGATGAGGAAACGGGCATTGAGCAGGCTGGCACGGGGTTGAAACTTCTGGCTCAAATAGCCATAGGTCAAGGTCACTAGATGCAACTCCTACCCAGTTAGGGCTGATGCTAGCACCTCCATGGCAGATTGTTGGGAGGTTTTTATGAAATAATGCACATCAGCATTTAGCACAGGGCCTGGCCCATATAGTCGCTCAATAAATGATACTTTTTATTGAATTAGCTGGTCATTGAACCCATAATTGGTGGCCCAGTTCAGCCACTACACTGCCACCCGCCCTGCTTTACAGTCCAGAAAGCGGCACACCGACCTTCTAGGAGAAGCAATCCAACCATAACACCCCCACAGCGCCTGAGTGCTTCGCACTGGAAAGACAGCTTGACAAAGGGAGAGAGGACATGGGGTGTTCAGAAACTCCCCATTTGCAGTGGAAATGGAATGGTTTGCCGAGGCCCACTTCCCCGGGGCTGCACTGCCCGAGTGGAGGCACCCTTTCCTCTTGCCTGGTGGTGCTCCACTCCGGGCAGTGAGGGTCTGTCCATGACCCCCTGGACCCCACTTCCACCTCTGGTCAAGGATAGCAGTCCCCTGCACAGATGGACATCTCAGGGCCCAGGAGGAGTGGGGAGGACGAAGCTCTGTAGCAGATTATAATGCAGCCCGGAAAGCCCGCAGGCTCTGCCCTCACCCTCACAGCGCAGTAAGTCGGGCATCTTGGATTTCTTGTGTTCCTAGAAGTACATTGGGTAAGAAGCAGGGGTCACTTGGGGGTTGATTGTGGAGTGTTCTGCTGGGTTCTAGGTCAGCAAAGGATCAAATGGACCATTCATGGAGAACAGGCACTGGATCAGTGGAAAGTATTTCTATAACTTGGTTTTTTCAAATGGAAGCGGCAGGGCAGGGAAGGAGGTGCGTGTGAGGTGGAAGGGTCTTCCTGTGAAGGGGTGATGTTGACACAGAGGACCTGTGAGTGGGATAATGATGTAGAACTACTGGCTGGGCTGGGGGTTATTTCCCTAGTCTTAGTGGGGAATGAAGACCAGACGCAAAGACCTATGGCTAGTATTTAAATGATCTCTCCAATTAATAAGTGACCTAAGGGCTGACAGGAAGCAGGAGAACATGGTTGTGGAGGGTTCAGTAAGAGCAGCTGGGACGGGCTCACTCTGGCTGTCCCTTAAAGTCCTCTTGCCTTTCTGGTCTCGTGTTTGGCAGGCTCGGAATTTTCTCCCTTCTCGTTGCATCTGATGGGCCCAGGCTGCTTTTGATGTACAGAGAACAGGCTCCCTCTGGGCATCATGCTGAAATGTCCCTGCAGTAGTCTCCCAGGCACTGGGGGGAGAGGGGCCTAGATTTCGCAGCCTCCAGAGGGTTCTCCCTCTATGTCTACTAAGAGGCCTTAGTTGGGTTTAGCCGCCTGGTGATTCTGGCCGAAGTGAATCATGTTTGTTGATACCATCCACATTGTCTCTGTCTCTGTTCCTCATTGGGTTCATGCGCTACTTGTGCTGACTTCGTGCAATACATGTAGAATAAAGAGAAAGTTAAGAATATCTTCCAGCAGGCACAGTGTGTGCATGTGTTTTTTTAAGGGTGTCCTCTGTGTGCTGTTTCATTTAACTCCATATAGAGCATCATGTGACTGCCTGGGGTCCCACGGGCTGGCGTGTGTGGGGGCTGGTTACAGAAGAAAGAGCTGAGCAGACATCAGGGCCTGTTAGACCAAAGGACTTGGAACCAAGAGAACAAGGCAGGGACAGGATGCAGCAGTTGGCTGTCCAGCTAGAGGAGTGTCCAGAAGCCTGGGGGCAGTAGCAAGAGGACTGGGGGTCTGGAGTCCTGCAGCTGAGGGCAGACTAAGGAGGCCAGCCCCACGTCCCATGTGGCTGAGCGCCAGCAAGTAGGCCCAGAAATCTTCCAGGGAGATTCAGAGCTCCTGGATGTGGAGTATCTTCTGATGCTGATAGCAAGTTTGACTTTTTATTAATGTATTATACTTTCCAAAACAGTAGGGGAAGACTAAAGTGCAGAGACAGGAAGCCCCTCTGTTGAAGAGTTGGGGACCCCAGTGGTCTGTGTTGGTTGGCATCGCTGTGGGCATCCTCAAGTCTGTTCATTTGGAGGGTCTATTCAATGAGAAAGTTTCCCAAACGTAGAAATGGCCTCCCCACCCACTTTGGGGTGTCAGGTAGTCACATAGCCCCATCACTGCCAACATCTGTGCCACGCAGGGATCGGCCCTGTTTCCCCGGCCTGTGCTCCCCTAACCCAAGTTAGTTTCTCGCCCCACCGTGTATGTGGACGGACACTGTGGGACTTGGCTACCCGGCCCTGACAGGCTGGTGTATTCAGTTCCCTGTCCTCAGACTCCGTAGAATAGCTTTTCGGTGTGTGGAGCCCACGTGACAGTCCCTACAACCTCCCCCAATAGGTGTGTGCCTGTGTGCTGCTGCTCTGCCCTCTGGCTGACTTGGCGTTTCACTAAATCCACGTGCTTTTGCCATAGCCGACCTTTCCATGTCTGATCAGTGTTGACAATACATGTAGATTCATTTTCAGCCCAATGTCACAACGTGACCTACTGTACATTGCAGAGTGTTTACCTTATTTATATACCTGAATGTTCCTATTACACAAATAAACATCTATTAAATTCTCGGCTCTGTGTGGTTTCTTTTTTTTTTTTTAAAGATTTATTTATTTATTTATACAAGCACTGGGTACAGTCAGAAGCGCGGGAGGGTGAGAGAATTCACCAGAGCCAGAGCGGGGAGCAGAACAGGCAGAAGGACCGAAGCACACTGCTGAGGGGAGCAGCGGGCGGCAGGAGAGGTCTGCGCGCCATGTGGGACCCTCTCTGGCAGCCGAGGATAGAACCGGCACTGCAGAGGCTGCGGGCAGCTTCGCAACCCAGCGCTCAACCACTGCGCCACCGGGGAGGCCCGGTTTCTTTTTTTTTTTTTAAAGATCTATTTTATTTATACAAGAGCTGGGGTACAGGCCAGAGGTGTGGGAGGGTGAGAGGATTCACCAAAGACAGAGCGGGGAGAAAAACAGCAGACGGACCGATAGCACTGCTGATGGGAGCAGCGGGTGAGACAGGAGAGGTCTGCCGCGCCATGTGGGTATCTCCCTGGATGGCCGGGAATCAAACCTGTGCCACCCGGGAGGCCCTCTGTGTGGTTTCTGATGGATGCAGAGGGCACGCTGACTTGACCTGAGACATGGGGTGTTGGTTGTGTGGAACCAGGGACACTTTGCAGGATGCTGCTGGCCACTCCTGCTTCTAAAGATACTTCTGCCCGTGGCCTTGGCAAACTGCCCTGGCATTCCTCCTGCTTCCTTAACTGTGCCTTCTCAGCCACTTTTCTGGGTGTCTCTTTTCCCCCCACCCCTTAGCGAGTGGTAGCCTGCCTGAGGGTCCCTCCCACTGCTGGATCAGTCTCCAGGATGCTCTTACCAACTCTCTGGGCTCTGTTCACCTTGCCCACTTCCACCTTCTCATGTCCATGCCCCTAACTCACAGGGGCTGGTGATGCTTCTTCATGTGGACTTGGCATGGTCAAACCCTGGCCCTTTATCTATACTTGCCCCAATCCAGCCAGTGTTTTTACCCCCCTGTAACACTCCTCTGTTTGGTGATATGAGCTGGTCATGAGAGCCTGCTTGGTCTACCTCCGAGCAGGTGCCCCATGGCTTGGCCACTTCTGTTAGTCTACACCTTACACTGGAGCTGGGATGAACTTCCTCTGCATGGAACTCTCGGTATAGGGGGGCAAGGCAGAAGCCAGGAGACCAGAGAGGGAGGAACAGCAACCATCCGGGCAAGAGAGGGTGATGGCTCCATTTGGGTGGTATGGTGAGAAATGAGCAGATCATCAAGATTTGCTGAAGGATTCTATATGGCATGGAAAAGAAAGGACAGCATGGATATTACATTGGGGGCCTGGTCAATTAGAAGACTGGTACTGCCATTCTTCTGGGCTGAAGATGGGCATGGGAAGACCCAAAGGACCTTGAAGGTAGCGCATTCCAGGCCAGTGATTTTCAAACGACTGCCCATTACAATTACCTGAGACACACACAAAAAAGACCATACACTGCACAGGCAGCACCCAAGATCAAAGACCTCCAGCTCCCTGGGGGAGAGACTTAGTCATTGGTGTTTTGAAAAGATCCCCCAGGTAATTTGAATGTGTGAAATTGAAATTCCCTGCAGTAGGTCCATCCCATCTCAACACCCCCTGCAAGTGGTTGGTGCCCTGTCCTTAGGGGAGACTGGTGTCCCTCATCAGAATGACCTTTCATACCAGGAGCGGTGGAGTAGAAAACGGCCTGTGCCAATCAGCGCCTCTGCCCAGTGCTCATGTTGTCTTGCTTCATCCCTTTGCCCCCATTCTACTCCCCCATCCATCCTGTATTCAGGGAAAGCGCAGTAGAACCACATATAAAACCTGGTGCCCAGCACAGTGGGCAGTGCTATCACACACCCAGCAGAGGGCAGCAGTGTGTCAAGAGTGAAGCACAGGCAATGGAATTCCTGTGCAGCACTCGCTAGATTTGTGACGGAACAAAATGTAGACATAATTGAGAAAATAGGCAAAGTGCTTACCCAGCACCTAGTCATCACCATCAGAAATGATTTAATATTTGTAATGCTGTCACCTTGATGTGCGCAGTGAATTTCTGGGCAATGTATGAGAAGGAACAAGCAGCAATATTCCAGTGACAGCAGAGGCGGGGGCAGGGCTAGGCATTGAGACTGGGGCACAGAGAAGGAAGGGCTCTTGGCGTTGAAGCAGGGGTGGGGGGGACTGAAGGCAGGCGAGATTTACCTTGGGCACCCAGGGCCAGTTGGAAATAAAGTTTACATATGAAAATATTTCACAGCATTGTCTAGATCCCCACCAGGTGCTGTCCCTCCCTGGCTAGCCTTAACTCACCCACAAAGGAGAAGGATTGGGGTTGGTCGTCTTTCTCATTTTGAATGGGAGAGCATAGAGGCTTGACTCCTGATCTGTTGTTTACTGACTGTGTCACTTTGTGGCTTTGGACAAGTTATTTACTATTCTGTGCCTCAGTTTCCTCGTTTGTGAAGAGGGGGTATAATAACGCCTAGCCCCTGGCCTTGCTGGGAGGATCAAATGAGTTAGTTAGTACTTGGAAAGAGCTTAGATTGGCCTCTGACACACACTAAATTTTTTTTTTTTAAGATTTATTTATTTTTATACAAGAGCTGGGGTAGAGGCTGGAGGCAGGGGAGGGTGAGAGGGTTCACCAGAGGCAGAGTGGGGAACAGAACAGGCTGATTGATGAAATATACTGCTGAGGAGAGCAGCAGGCATGACAGGAGAGGCCTGGCACACCATGTGGGAATCTCCCTGGCTGGTCAGGAATTGAACCGGCACTGCAGAGGCTGTGGACAGCTTCACAGTGTGGCGCTCAACTCCCTGTGCCACTGGGAAGCCCTAAATTTTAATAAATATTAGCAATTATTATTTCAGTGTCCTACCACTCCCTGCCTGCCCCCCCCTTATTCATATTCGTTGTCTCTGGCCTTTTCATATCGCTCCCTGCAATGGCCCCAATAAGGAAGGAGGAATTACTTTAAGGTATGGACCTCCCTGCCCCGAACTTCTTTGTTTTACATAAGTGGCTATTTGCACTTAACTTTCCAGAGTCACAAGTCAACCTTGTGCAATTTTCATCTGAAAAGGGCTTTCTGTCATTTATTGCTGCAAACATGCTAGAGAGAAAAGGAGCTATAAAAAATAATAGGGTCATATAAAGATGACTTAGAGCCAACAGGAAGAGACTCCCAAAGATGGGACATTTCAAACATCAATAAGGATAATAACTTTAATTGATTAAAAATCAATTATATTTAAATACATTAATTCATGATACTTTTTTAATGATACTTTAAAAAGTTCAATTGATCATCATTGAAGGATGCTAGTAAATCAAATCTACTCCTAAAACCAATAAAGAGTGAATTTGAATTAAGAAAAAAAATCAATTTGTCCTGCCTTTTTTGAATAAACTCTCCCATTGGTATTAAATATATTTAAAAAAAAAATCCATCTTAAGATACCAGAAAAAGAAGCCCAAACTAAAACTAAAACAAGTAGAAGGAAGTAAATAATAAAGATTAGTAAGGGAATTAATGAAATAGAGAATAGAAAAACAAAGGAGAAAATTAACAAGCCCAGAAGTTTTCTTCACTGAAAACATCTATGAAATGAAAAAACCGGCAGCAAGACTGACCAAGAAAAAGAAAAGGCTCACAATGCTAAAATCAGGAGTGAACGAGGGGACATCACTGCTAACCTTACAGAAATAAAAGAGTAAGAGGGCCCCTCCCTGGTGGTGTATGGAGTTAAGTCTCAGCACTAGGAAGATATCCTGTCAGGGAGATACACACATGGCGCAGCAGACCTCTCCTGTCTCGCCCGCTGCTCCCCTCAGCAGTGTATTTCAGTCAATCTGCCTGTTCTGCTCCCCACTGTCTCTGGTGAATCTTCTCGCCCCCCCACACCTCTGGCCTATACCCCAGCTCTTGTATGCATAAATAAATCTTTAAAAAACAAAAGAGTAGGGCCTCCCCGGTGGCGCAGCGGTTGAGCGCTGGGTTGCGAAGCTGCCCGCGGCCTCTGCGGCGCCGGTTCGATCCCCGGCTGCTCCCCGGCCACCGGAGGAGGGTCCCACATGGCGCGCAGACCTCTCCTGCCGCCCGCTGCTCCCCTCAGCAGTGTGCTTCGGTCCTTCTGCCTGCTCTGCTCCCCGCTCTGGCTCTGGTGAATTCTCTCACCCTCCCGCGCTTCTGACTGTACCCAGTGCTTGTATAAACAAACAAACAAATAAATAAATAAAAAACATGCCTCTATTAAAAAAAAAAAAAAAACAAGAGTATATGAGAAAAATATGAGTAACAACTATATGCTAGTAAAATGAATGAGTGAAATGGACAAATTCTAGAAAGATACAAACTACTAAAACTGACTCCAGAAGCATATATGGCCAGGTAAGAGGCTACCACAGTAATCCAGGTAGGGTTTTGATGGCTAAAAAGACTGTCTCCTAAGACTACACCCTGAGATCTGTGCCACCATAGATATGGTGGAATAAAAATTAAAAGGGGGGGGCCTCCCCGGTGGCGCAGCGGTTGAGCGCTGGGTTGCGAAGCTGCCCGCGGCCTCTGTGGCGCCGGTTCGATCCCCGGCTGCTCCCCGGCCACCGGAGGAGGGTCCCACATGGCGTGCAGACCTCTCCTGCCGCCCGCTGCTCCCCTCAGCAGTGTACTTCGGTCCTTCTGCCTGCTCTGCTCCCCGCTCTGGCTCTGGTGAATTCTCTCACCCTCCCGCGCTTCTGACTGTACCCAGTGCATGTATAAACAAACAAACAAACAAACCAGCAAACAAATAAATAAAAGCATGCCTCTATAAAAAAAAAAAAAATTAAAAGGGGGGATTGTAACAGGGTGGTCCCCAGGAAAGGGGGAGGTTCCCTGCCCCACCCAAGGGAGGGTGGAGCTGAGCAGGAAGAGGAGAAGCGGCAGAAGAGACTGAGGAAGGAAGCAGGATGGAGCCAGGAGACCTGGAGGAGGCACATGGAGCCTAGAGACACGTGAAAAAACTGCGCTTGTCTTTTGGT